ATGCCACAACTAGAAGGACACACAACTAAAAAACATACAACTATGTACCGGGGGGCTTTGGGGAGAAAAAGGAAAAATAAAATCTTTTTAAAAAAATTGTTTAAAAAAGAAATGTCCAGAAAAGGCAAATTTACAGAGGAAAAAGCAGATCAGTGGTTGCCTAAGGCTCAGAGTAGGAGAAGGGATTAGGCAAAAACCAACACGAGGAAACTTGTTGGGCTGATGGAAATGTTCTAAAGGTGCATTTTGGTTGCCAACTACATAAATTTACTAAAAAAAAAAAATCACTGAAGTGTACACTTACAATGGGTGAATTTTTCTATAGTACATAAATTTTATATTAATAAAGCTGGGCTTTTTTAGAAAAAGAAAAAAGCCTCTGGGGCGTGGGGACCAGCAAGCTTTGGTTTCACAAGTCTTCCAGCTGATTCTAATGTTATTAAGGTTTGCTCTAAATCACTGCTCTAAAGAGACCGTCTAAAAGAGAGATAACATCATTAGCATATCTAAGTGGCACCGATTCCTACCCACCCAGAGTGGTAAGGATCACGAAGACAAGGATATTCCCTAGAGGGAATAAACAACTGCATTTTCTCTACAAATCTGAATAGCACGGTGTGTTAAGTTTGATACAGAGCCCAGACTTAGGGGTGACCCCAAGGCTCAGACTCATGTCCAAGTGGACGCTTCCAGCTCGGCACTTCAAGGTTCCTCCAGCACCCAGATGTACCCTGTCCTGAATTAAGCTCTCTGTTCCTAACTTGCTTTCCTCATTCACCCAGTCTCTAAGCCCGAAACCTGGGAGCTAACATGGCCTTCCCCCTCCCTCGCCCTGCACGACTAGTTTGTCACTGAGGCTTGAGCTTCCATTTTCATTATCTCTCCCCTTTTTCCCAGTAACGGCCTTAAGCCAGGGCCTTATCACTCTCTGCCTTCAGACTCACCCCACCCCCTCTCAACCCACCCACTCAGATATCCTAGGCACCATTCTTACATATGAACATAATCATGCCACTCCCTGCTAAACTCCTGTAGAGTTAGAAATTGCTGGGGCCAGCCTTGTGGCCTAGTGGTTAAGTTCAGCGTGCTCTCCTTCGGCGGCCTTGGTTGGGTTCCCGGGCAGAGACCTACACCACTTGTTGGTGGCCATGCTGTGGCAGTGACCCATATACAAAAAGCAGACGAATTGGCATGAATGTTAGCTCAGGGTGAACCTTCCTCAAGGAAAAAAAAAAAAAAAAAAAAGAGGAAGATTGGCAACAGATGTTAGATCCAGGCAGCTCTTCCTCTTGCTTTTGATCCATATAACAGAAACCTGTTTGTGCTTGTTTAACCAAATAGAGGTTTATTTTTCTCATGTGATGAAAAGGGCCAAGGTAAGCAGCCCGTTTCTAATGGACACCACTGTTAGTTTTGCATGTATCTTACAGGAACGTAATGTGCATTTACACTTCAAATATACAGTTTGAACATTTGAACACAATGGGGTCCAAGCACAGTGTTTTTCAGAAAAGCTCCCAGGTGGTCCTACTGTGCAGTCAGGGTTGACAAGCACTACACCTGGCCCAGGTACCTTTGATTTACAGCCAAGCTCTGGAGAAAATTACCCGAGACGACAGAGGGGGCGAGAATGAGCCAGAGTGCAGGCTGGAAGTGCTAAACAGGTAGCGTACGACATGCGTTATTGCCAAGATTGTTAAATATATAGCTGACTCTCAATTAGAGTTTGCAAATTTCTAATCCCAAGCTGTTCACTTCTGCTTACTCACGATCTAAATTCATTTTTATACTTTGCCCTCTCCAGCTTTCAATAATGCCCCAGATACCTCATGATTCTCTGCTATCATCTAACAGCGTTTACTGGCAAGAGCTTTGGGGTTTGAGGATTTCCTACCATTAAATATCTGCAGGTAGGACTAGCTAATACCACTTTCAACTATTTCTAATTTGCTTTCTAGTTATTAGGGCTTTTGTTTCTCAGCATTTAAAAAACCTCTCTCTTTGTACTTTGCTTCTTGTGCATTTCCATTAGTTCTGACATTTTCCTACAATTCATAAAAACATGTTTTTCATAAGCAAAGGCCTTGGTGATAATCCCTTTGTGATGTGTGAGGTGAAGGAGATTAATAGAAAACTACACATTTACTGAGAAATGGCCTTGGGTCACAGAAGGAAAAATGATTTATGGAAAGAGAAAGATGAAATAAAGGGGAAAAGAGACAAACGAATCCTAAGAAAGGAGGAAGAAGGAACGGAGGTGCGAGACTGAACTTCTGGTCTACCTTCTTGCTCACCTCCTAACTACAGAGGTCCCAAAACACAGATTTCCGTTCTCAGGAAGGCCAGAATGCCACACTCTAAACTGCTTAGTCATCTGCACGCCTGCAATCTGATCTCAGGCATCCAGACCTCCTCACCATTCCTGACAAAATCAGCCCCTCTGGATTACTGTGCTCCATTCTGACTGTCAGATTCCAGCCACGTTCTGGGACTTCTTGGAGATAAGGACTCTCCATGGGATGGGCCTGGTATAACAGTGAACTTTTCAAAATTACCTGAGTTCTCCAGTCACACCCCAGTTGGAGAGACGTGAACTCTGTCACTAGATTATGGGGCAGGAGCGCCCCAAAGCCATTCGATTACAGGATCTCAAGGTCGACATGAATAGGCTTCTCTTCACTTTTACAGGACAGGGACAAGAGCACAAAGGGAGGCCCTTATACTATGTGTTAGATATTTAAACATTATAAGTCAAGATAACCCAGCCCAATAAAATAGAACCCATCCTCCTGCCTTAACATATATATAGCTTCATGAAGACGTGGAAGGCAGGTTCAAGTTTGGAATGCTTGGACTTCTCTGAGTTCTGTGTAGGAAGGTGGCAGCAGATTGAGAGGCAGCCCCCTGTCCCTGGTCTTTCCTCTTTTCCCTACCCCAGGCTCCAGGCTGCACTGAGAGGGGACTATGGTCAAGCTTAGGTGTGTACTGATGGTGGGAAACAGGCTTGCAGCTATTTGGGCAGGAAATTCCAGGGTCCTGGGTACTCAATGCGTGTTCTCGAACAGTGGTTCTTGATTACAGGCAATTTTGCCTCCCAGAGAACATGTGGTAATGCCTGGAGAAATTCCTGTTGTCACAGCTTGGAGAGGGGGTGCCGGGGGCATCTAGTAGGCTGAGGACATCCTGCCATGCACAGGCCGGCCCCCCATGACAAGGAGTTATCAGGCCCCACATGTCCATAGTGCCAAGGCCGAGACATCTGCTTTAGGAAGACACAAATACTGTTCAGATTCACATATTTAAATTCCTTAACCCTGTTCCAGGAGAGGAGGAAGGTTCTGGGTGGCAGCATCTTCTCAGTTCCACAGACTCTTTCTCCCATGGGAGAAGTGGCCAGAGGAGGGACAGAACGGGGGCCTCTATAGTGTGGGACCCCCTTGCCCAGGTGTGAGGGCGGTACTAGGAATGAACCTCAGGGGTCCCCTAATCCCGCAGGACACAAGCCCTTCCACTGACCCCAACAAGGGGCTGTCCAGGCTTTGTCTACATATCTCAAAAGAAGAGACTTAATGTCCCAGGGCCACTCTTTGTATCCGTGGTCAGCCTCAGTGCCAAGCTCTCCCAGTGAACTGAAATCTGACTCTCAACTTCCTGGAACCCAAAGAAACTGCGGCCTTGGGCAAAGGCCTTTTGGCTCTCACTTGCACATTTATGCAACTGTCTAGCACATGCCAGTTATCTGGAGAATACTAGTAAGTTCAACAAGCAAAATCACAAACGTACACTTTTCAGAGGATGATAAAACAATGTGGATTGTGTATCTCTGACAGAGGATGACTCAGAGTAGGAAGGAAGGGAGAGAGGGAAGAAGGAAGAAAGACCAAAAGACAGAAGGACTGGAAAGCACAACCCAGACATGGCTGGAGCAGCCTCTGTCCTTGCTTCACTCTGGCCTTGAATTAGGCCTCAGTATTCTGCCATCCTCACAACTAAATTGCACAAAGTAAATGGAGCAGAAGTCCCCAGCAGGCAGAGCCCCTTCAGGTGTGCCCCTTTTTGGCCTCTGTCTGCGGCTTCTTTCTCTACACTTCTTTTCAGAGCACTTTCCCCATCTCTTCTTTTTTTTTGTGAGGAAGATTGGCCCTTAGCTAACAACGGTGCCAATCTTCCTCTGTTTTATGTGGGATGCCGCCACAGCACGGCTTGACAAGCAGTGTATAACAGGTCTGTACCCAGGATCTGAAGCTGCGAACCACAGGCCACTCAAGCAGAGTGCATGAACTTAACCACTTCGCCACCCAGCTGGCTTCCTCATCTCCTATTTTGAGTCAAGTGGCTCCAGCTTGCCCCCACCTTGTGGACTTCACTGGGCATGAAAAATACCCAAAAGCCAGAGGTTCCCAAAGTGAGGTCCCAGACCAGCAGCATCACTGGTACCTGGGGACAAGTTAGGAATGCAAATTCTGGGTTCCCACCCAGACCCACGGCGTCAGAAATAACAGCAACCCGCGGTTTAACAAGCCTTCTAGAAGAGTCTAATGCATGCTTCCAGGTGAATTTAACCTCCACTCTGAAAACAGTTCATCCACCTTTGTTATTCAGGCACCGGCTGGGAGGATGGAAGATAAAGATTCCTCTCTCCTCATGCCCCCATCCCACCAAAGTCTATCAAACCATTCTCCCAACAAAAGTGTGTGTGTGGGGGAGGGTTCTCATTCCAAGCCATATTGTTGCAGACAAATGCACGCACATTGCAAACAGAAAAAAAATTCTAAGAGAAGAACATCAGTAACCTTTGAATTTGCACTCCCCAAAAGTACCCACCGTCCCCTGTACATCTTTCTAGAAAGTTCTGAGCACACAGGTAAATATGTTTACACTTTTTTAAAAAACCCACAAAAGTAATTTGTATTGTTTTCTCATTCCATAATACGTTTTTGAAATATCTTCCTTGAAGGATAAGTAGCATTTGGTGTACGGAGGTATCATAAATTATTTACCCTTCTCCTCGACTGTCGTGGCAGTAGAGTCAGACGAAATACGAGAGAGGCATTGAAGTCAATCTGTTGACATTTTGGCATTTTTAGGGTTGTGGCCTTGCCACACAGGAACAATTTGAAAAGAATACAGAATTCTTGTAAGCAAATAAGCAGCTCTATGAGCTAAAGACTAAGAAAATTGCACAGAAGAAAAGGTGAGGGCAAGGATTGAGATATACCGACTTTACACACCCTCAGAAAACCAGAAAGCAAGACAGAAAATGAAAACTACGAAAGCACCCAGCTTGACGCGTCCCAATTTCCAACTAAATGAGACAATGTTGTGACCCAAGGCAGTTATAACTAAAGATATTTCCAGACAGAGTGACTTCAGATCTTCAAGGCGTGCACGTATACCTCATTTTCCCAGTTTCGCCTACTGCGATCCACAGGTTACACCTTTGAGAGAAAAAATGTTTTTTTCCACGCTCAAGGTCTCCGGGCGGTTCACGGCCGCAAGGCGGAGGCAGCCTGCAGCGCCGAGGACAAGGTTCCCCACGTGGCTCCTCGGCCCCGCCCCCGGCCGTTCCCGGCAACTGGCGTCGCGAGGCCTCCGGTAGGGAGGGGGGCGCTGAGCGCGCGGGCGGCGATTGGTTCCAGACCAGGGTGGGCGGGGCGCGGAAGCCGCTGGGGGGAGGGGACTAAGTGCGCGGGCGGTGATTGGTTCCAGGCCAGGGTGGGCGGGGCGCGGGGACTCGGCTGATAAAAAGTGAGTGGCGCGCCCGCCGCGCCTTGCGTCGGCGTCTTCTGCTGCGTCTGTGGTCCCTTCGGATCTCGGAGCAGAGCGCGACCCCGCGAGTCATGGCGCTGAAGGCCGTGTGCGTGCTGAAGGGCGATGGCCCGGTGCACGGCGTCATCCACTTCGAGCAGCAGCAGGCAAGGGCTGGGCCGCGCCCGCGCACCTGTGCTCCTGAGGGCCGGCCAGGCCCCGGGCCGCCCTCGCCACGCCCCCGCCGCGCCGGGCCGGCGGGTCCGAGCCACCCAGGGCCTGTGGCCCGGAGGCTATGCGGCGCCCCCGCGCGCGGCCGCGGGTGCTGAGTCACCAGGCGGGCCCGGCGGCCGCGTGCGTGGCGAGGCCTGGGCGGGGTGCGGGCAGGAAAGGCCTGGGCGGGGGTGTGGGAGGAAACACCCAGCGGGTCCCGTGGGTGCCAAGAGCCGCGGCCGGGGAGGGAGGAGAGAGCGCGCACGAGGAGAGCTGCTGGCGTCAGGGCCTCCTCGCCCGCCGCCTCGGCGTCTGCGGGCCAAGGCGGAGACCCTTCCTTGCAGGGTCATTTTCTGGGTCTCGAGGATCCTGCGCGCTCCGAGTTGCGCAGTCCGAGGCCCGGCCCGGCCAGGAGATCCTGGAGTGGCGGGGCGGGGTGGGGGAGGGGCCGGGACTCCGGGACGCCGGGAGGTCGTCGCATCCGTTATCCTTTTGGGGTTTGCTTTCCGACTTGGGCTCCCTAGGTTAGGGATCTGCAAACTCCGGCCCGCGAGCCTGTGCCTTCCCAGGGCTGATGTTTGTGCAGCCCTCGAGCTAAGAGTGGTTTTTATCTATTTGTGTTTAAAGGGTCGTGAAAAACAGGAATATGCGACAGAGACCGAATGTGGCCCTTTACAGAAAGGTTTGCTGACCTCTGCTCTGGGTCATGTTCAGGCTGTAAGGGCAAAGAAGATGACCCTGGGCAAAGCTCCTTTTCCTCCTCCAGCGCTCCAAAAGTCAGATCTGAGCAACTCCCTTGCTGGAGGTTTTCCAGAGCAGCGACTTTTAACTCTGGGTGTCCAGTAGACTCATATGGGGAGCTTTAAAAAAATGCAGATACCGGGGCCCAACTCGAGATCAGTTATATAAAAATCTGTCAGGGTGCAGCCTGAGCATTGCTATTTTTTAAGTTTCCAAGGTGGTTCCAGTGTGCACCGTGGGTTGAGAATTTCTGTAGATAGTGGGTGTGGTTTGGGAGATGGAAGTAAGGACACCTGGACCGTTGTTTACATTGCATGGAATTGTCACTTAACTGTTCTTGGAGTCGTTTGACCCAATTCTCTGTGAAGCGACTTTGAAATTGCTCTCCAGTAGGCCCGTTACTGATGTCGTCGAAGACAAACTTCTGAACAAATCTCGTAAAATAAAATATGCAGAAATACTCATTATTGATAATATTGCAAGACACAGGCGTGTAAGGAAGGTGGTTGTGATAAGAGTGTTCCCCAAATCTTAGTGAGGTTACCACCCGGTGGGAGATGGTTTATGTTGTACTTGGCTTCTTAATCGTGACAATATTTAATACATGAATGAGATGTAGGCTTTGAAGAGGTTTACAGAAATGCGAGAGGACAGGAGAAATAATCTAGGGAAGTGTCCATCTATGAAATTTATGTGAAGGAGAACTTAAACTCTAGCTTAATTTTTTCTTTATGAGGTTTCCACGTTTTCTGGAAAAGGCTTTTTGGCATTTGACTAAATTTTGCTGTTTTCCTTTGCCATACTTTCTTCTGTCCTCCTCTCTCCTCCCCACATAATTCCCGGATACTAGAGCCTCAGGGATCCCTTCCCTCTGGCCAGTGAGAAATGGCACTGCATTCAGAAGCCAAGATGTGAGGCCATTCGTGACCCAGGTTCCCTTAGCTTTTCCACCGTCCCTGAGCCACTTGTGTGGCTGGCGCCCTCTTAAGTTCCAAACTTCATTTTCATGCTGCTGTTTGTACGGAATGAAGACCCTTGAGAGTTAAGCATCACAGCTCCACAGATAGGCAGATATACTAAACTGGCAGTAAACTGTGTTTGTTTGGCCTATTGAGTGTTTAAAATTTTGGATTCGTTTCCAGTCCTCCACCCTCCTCCCCCAATTTTTAAAACTCAGAAATTTTTGCCAATAAGTCCAAAGTCTTAGCTTCTCTTGAAAAATTTGGAGATCTGTCCAGACTGAGCCTTCATTAGCCCAGGGCAACACGGGGCATGGGCCAGTTGACATTCCTTCTTGCGTCCCTGACCTGTTTGACTCACTTGAGGTAAGAGCCTGGCCCTGTAGGGTTGTACCCAGGTGGCTTCCTGCTGAAATATGTGTGCTCTGTGTGTCACCCGTTCACTGGCGGCTTAACACAACCTGTCCTCTTGGCCATTCTGGGCTTTGATGACACAGTGTGTTTTGGGGGGTAACATTCCACATTTGAGTTTTTCCAAAATTAAAAGTTGTCCTTAGAAGAATCGAAGTATATCTGTTCTCAAAAAGAAAAGCAAAAAAGGGCAGCAGTTGCCACATGACTTCCTTTGAGTGGTGGTATTTATCCAGTGGGAAGTCAGGTCTTCCAGGTTAGCACCTCTTGTAACTGTTGGCCCTGGCTGTTTAAAAGCAAAAGCAAACACACCATCCCGTGTGTTACTGTGTGGTGTTGATGCTGTGCATATTTTATTCTACTCCTAGGATCTCTGCCTGGCTGTCACAGTAGCTGCCTTGATTTCTGTGTGCAGCCACGTGGTACCGTTACCCGTCACCATTGCTTGAATGGCGGTACCTGTGTTTTTTCTTCTGCTCTGGTGTTTTTATTGTCCTTGCTTTTTGGTCTCAGTAGTTAGACTGGGAAGGTTATCTAGATTTCAGTGCCTGAAAACACTTGAGAAACAGTACCTCTGTTTAGACCAGAGCCAGTCCCGCAGGGGCGGTGGGATAGGGTATTTTCTGGCTATGAAGCAAAAATATCTATGCCGGAAACTGGAGATCACCCCTCTTAGTGGAGAATGCAGAGCAGGGATCCTCGGTAGCCAGGTGGACATTTCCGGGGGGCCTTTTTCTTTCTTCTTTTTTAGGGCAAATGTGTATGTTTGCCTTATGGAAGAGTGCATGAAGAAAGCAAGATGCTGAAGTGGATGATGTGCTAACATCTGGGTTAAAAAGTTTGCTGTGTACACGTAGACTCACCATGTCGAGTATAACCGACTCAGAAGTATTTACAGGAAGAACCAGCGCGCGCTCAACTGCGTTTGAATGAGCGGTCAGCAGCTTGCGGGAGGGTCACTGCTGGGATGCTGCAGGCCCGGGGTGTGACTCAGCTCTTTTTTAACTCCCAAGGCCATGTTCTTTCCACTTTCCTGGGACTGGTGGAGATCATTCAGCACTTGCTCTCTCAAACTTGTTGCGCTTTTCTTTGAATAAAGGAAGGTGGGCCCGTCGTTCTGAAGGGATTCATTGAAGGATTAACCAAAGGCGATCACGGATTCCACGTCCACGAGTTTGGAGATAATACACAAGGTGGGTGCTGGGCTCCTCTAGTGGCCCACACGGTTTAACCTAGTAGATAAACGGGACCGAGTAGAATTACCCCTAGACTTTTAAAAAAAAGGTCAAGTCAGTATGACTGCTAAGGTCAGCCTTAGGGAGATAGCCACAAAACTGGTTTTTGACTCTTGAGTGTGGAAAGGAGGGGGAAAGTGTTGATGTTTTTTTCATGATTATGGCTTGATTATATAAGTCTCAGGTGTTTTTCAAGAAAACAAAAAATTCCGCTCCTTTCGTATCCTCTGCAGGGATCTCAGTGTTGGTGAGCTGGGGTTGGGGTGGGTGCTTCACGCGCAAGGTGCGTTTATCTGCATCACCCTGTAAGAATAGCTCCAGGCCTCCGAACCAGAGCCTGAGGGTGACAGACGTAAGATACCAACCGAAGATGGAGTGTCAGCTGTTGATGCTTTGGACTGACTTTCATTTTCTCTGTGTGGCCAGTTAACAAAAGTTTAAGGGTTAAATTGCACTTAGTGATCTTTTGCCACATTTGGGTTATCTGAACTTAATGTTTACACTTTTTATGATGAGAACTGGACTTGTTTTGCTGGCACTTTGTTTATTGTTCCATAATTTGGTTCCTGTAAATAGTGATCTCATGTCCAGATTTGATCCATTTCAGTAATTATGAAATTCTCAAGTTGCTTCTTGGTTTATTGCCTTTGCTTTGGGAGGCACTTGCCCTGTGGCTTTGAGACTCTGCTACTTCCTGGGTGGGGTGGACCTGGGGGCCGAGGGGATAGATGGCAGGTGCAAACAATGGGAACTTCCCGTCAGCCTCTGAGTGGAGAAAGCCATGTCATGAAAGAACCTCCTGCTCTTGGTGGCTGTGTTCTGTGTGAATGGCATTCCCTGGCACACAGGAGTGCCGTTTTTACAGAACACAGTCTGAACGCCGCCCCCTGGGGTTGTGTGAGGCCGCAGCCCTTGGACATAAGGTGCATTCTATATTCTGCATGCACCAAGTAAAGGCCACGGACAGGAGAGTTGCTTGGGTGTAATGTGTTGCTGGGGAGGTAAGTTTTTTATAGTTAAGGTATGGTACCTTTTAATGACCTAGGGTCATAATCATGGGATTTTAACAATAGAAGAACCATTGAAGATCAACTCTCAGCCCTCTTATTGTACAGGGCAGTGAGGAAACCGAACCCATAGCAGGGTGTTAACTTTACCAGTGTCACGCAGGCATTAGAACTTGTGTCTCCTATCTGCCCGTTTTGTTGAAGGTGTTGCATCCTGTTTTTATTAGCCTAGAAGTCATGGTGTGGGTCAGTACTTTATCCATTTGAGGTTTTCTCAATGACCAGTTTCTTTTTAGAATTTTGGAATTTTGTTCCATAATTTGGCTACTTTTTTTTGGTAAATAGGCTGTACCACTGCTGGTGCTCACTTTAATCCTCTGTCGAAAAAACACGGTGGACCAAAGGACGAAGAGAGGTGAGTGAGAGAATGCTGAACTCGTATTGAAATAATGGTTGTGGCTTTTTGGGGTCGATATGTGTATACTCTTTGCAATTGCACGCGATGATAACTGAGTGGTGTCCCCCTCCTCTGCTCTTGCATTTGTTGCCCCCCCATGTCACCCCCTGGCCCCAAGTGCTAGAATGGCTTCCTCCCTGGGCTGAGGAATTGACAAATGGGGACACTTAAAACGATTTGGTTTTGTAGCATTTATTGAATATAGAACTAATACAGATGCCAAAGGGAACTAATACAGGAAGTGTCATGAATAACAGTACTGTCAACCACTAGCAAATCATTATGGTGAAACCTAGGAAGCTTTGTAGATAAAAATTTGATATTGAAAATTCAGTGAGACTCCATTTGTATGTGTTTATTTTCTGAGAGCCTTTCAGGAAGACAATAAATTTAATAAGCACAAGGATTAGTTTATGTTTATAACAGAGGCCTAGGGGCATAGCTTTCTTAGCCATGCCAGAGTTAACCGGCAGAACTCAGTAACTAAGAATTTTACCCTTTGGTACTTTACCTCTGAAATCGAGGTGCGCCCTCATCCCACACCTCTTCCCAGAGCATTAGTTTGTAGACTTGAAGCCTTGTTTGAAGAATGTCTAGTTGCTTGTTTTTAAATTTGTATGTTTCCAAAATTTCGGTAATCTGGAAAAGTGGGTCCTGTTTGCTATTTACCATATCCACCTCTTAGTCCACCCTCATGTATCTGTTTGACTCAGTCAGTTTTTAATACGGCTCCTGAACTATCCTGATGGTAAGTTAAATGAAAATCAGTCCTAATCTCTCTGATGCTTTGTCACTGTTAGGCATGTTGGAGACCTGGGCAATGTGACTGCTGATGAAAATGGTAAGGCTGATGTGGATATGAAAGATTCTGTGATCTCACTCTCGGGAAAGCATTCCATCATTGGCCGCACAATGGTGGTAAGTTTTCTTATAACCAGGATATGCGTAAAGCTCCTCCTAAGCCACAGTCATAGATCTTTTCATGATTATTAATCCTGGTTTGTAAGGATCCAGACAAATTGTACCTTTAGTTCAGATTAGGAAAGTTATTTTCTTGGATGATTACAATGAAGATGTATTAATGATCTAGGTCAGTTAAGAACACCCTTCTGCTAAGACGCGGTCATAAAGTAGATCACATTTGATCATAGGAGATTTATATTACGGAAACAGTAGTCTGTAGTTTTAAAATGGCCAGATTTTCTTGCCACAGTTGGTTTTCCCCGTTGTAGTTAAACAGAACACTTTGTGGAGTCTAAAATCTGGGGCGGACCGCGACATTAATACTCCTTCACGTTGGCAGGTTATCATCACTTTTTAACACGTGGGAAGTGGTTGCTCCAAGTGACCCTTGGGAGCTGCGTCTGGTCCACGCAGAGCAGCACGTAGCGTAGGCTCTTGCCTACCCCAGAGGATAGTTAATGTTCACTAGCCTTGCAGTTGACCCTGTGTCCTTACAACTTTGTCAGTGCTTGATAAGCAAAATTTAAAATACTGTTGTTTAAATAGTTCAGTAGTTTTAGGATTTACCTCTTACTTAGAGGCCTCTTGTTCATTAGGCACGATTTTGATGGATGTTTTTTGGTTCACCTTCCCTTTCCTTTTTTCCAAAGCAATTTGTACTGTGAAAGAATGCTGACTATAACTGAGGTTACTAAAATTTCTCACGGAGGATTAAGACCAGCATGTGGTGGCTGTGTGATGTTTGGGTTTTTAGTATTTCATTTAGAGAAAGCAACACGTACCTAGTATGAAAAGGTAACTTATGTCTGCATCATCAAGAAAAAGCTTTAAGTAGTTTCTACTTTTTACTACTAGATTAAATATTAGTACATTTCCCTACAAGTAGGACTATTTTAACATTTTTTAAAAAATATTAAATGATTCTTAAGTCTTTTGGGTATTGTTGACAAGCGGTGGTAATTACTTAATAGCCCTAACTTCTATGTTTTTAAAATTTCTTAAAGGTCCACGAGAAACAAGATGACCTGGGCAAAGGTGGAAATGAAGAAAGTACAAAGACGGGGAACGCTGGCAGTCGTCTGGCTTGTGGTGTGATTGGGATCGCTCCGTAAACATTCCCCGTGTCATGGTCTGAGTCCTAGTAACTCATCTGTTATCTTGCTAGTTGTAGAAATTTAACTTGATAAACATTAAACGCTGTAACCTTAAAAGTGTAATTTGTGTGACTTTTTTTTAATTGCTTTAAGTACCTGTAATGACAACTGATTTATGATCAGTTGGATGATTTGTTTAATTTTATAAAACTCATTCAATTAAAATGTCCGTTTCTATCTCTGTATTTTGCCAGACTTAATCATATATGAGTATTAAACTTAAGTGAATTTCTTCAGTTCTCGTTCAGGTCTACAATAAACAAGTACCCTATATGGCACTGTATCTTGAACCTAGTGAAGTATCTAAATTGAAATTCCAAATTAGCTTGATCCCTCAGACACAGAGCTTAAACAGGTAGAGTAGCGTGTTGACAGGTATTGACTATTTCATAGAGCTCTCTTTTGAAAATGTTTTAAATTTTAACAGCTGGTCTTTGGCTAAAGCTAACCTGAAATTTAATCTTTGACAAATAGACTATCCTGTCACCTTTGGAGAAATGAAGGTAGTTTCCCTGCTTAACCAATATAGCATTTTGATTCAAAAGTGTGTAAGTTTATTTTTAAAAGTAAATGTTATGGTCTAAGAGCACTTTGATAACTTCTAGTGAAACTGAATGGCAAGTTACAGCCTCAGTTAGCTAAGAATAAGATTAATTTACCTACCTGCCAAAATGGCACATTTCTGTAGACTTGTGAACATTTAGTTTATAATAAAAGTAGAGGTTGGCACAGCCTACTTTCAGATTAGCCATTTAAAGGAATAACATTGTAAGATGGAACCAAGGAAATGTTTGATTGTGGGTTCTGGAGGTTTAAAGAGAAGAATTTACACACCCAATTCGTGAATTCAGGTCTTTCTCTTAATGTAAATACTTGTGCTCCTGTAAGAGAATGCTTTAAATGAAACGTTAACCTAACTCAGGTTTGACTATGTGCATTACGGTTGTTTATTAATTGAAAGTTGTAGAATATTTTTGATAAGCCAGAAATAAGCTACAGTTCTGATTGATCATAAATATATGATGTACTTTATCAAATGTAGATTACTTATGAGGAAAAGCTAATTCGGAAACAGACAATTTGTAGTGCCTTCAGAGTTTTAAAATTGGTAGTAAAGAACCGTGTGCTCACAACAGGTGGTTAAAACTGCTGTCAGCTGGGTAGAGAATCTAAAAACAGTATTTAACAGATTTCTCTAATGTACAGTTTGGTACGTATGCAGGATAGGACTGAAATACAGGGACTCGCTTGTGACCTTTAAAGCTTCACGTGTAATCGCTACCACTTAGTGTTTTTGGGGTTTTGTCACGTGCAAACACGGTGTTCTCACTACTTTCACTTGGAAGTACAGGGCTGCAAGTCCTTGGAATCTGAACACTAAATAACCAGATGTGTCTTCCCAGAAGCAGTTTCAGCTACGACTTTAAACTTCTCAGTGGTCCTACAGAAAACTAAGGAAAAGTTTTGTAATTCGAGTCTGCCGATACGAAGCAGGTTTTTCTTATTTCTAAAGATAGATAGAAACCCAAGAAAACTGCCCTAGAGAAATTCTGTCCATCAGATCTTGCTGCAGAGTATACTATTTAAAAACCAAAGTAATACAGCAGCTTCGCCTGGGGATGAGGACACAGAAAAGTTAACTGCTAGAACACTGAAACTTTAAAAATGAAGTGGAGGAAGAAAAAAGCTTCCCCGAGCCTAACTCCTTGGGCTGGGTCCCGGCAGGTCTCTTCCTCGGCACTGGGTAGGCAGCGGGACGGACTGCTTTTCTGTACTAGTTAGGTACAGGTTTGGCTTGGCTTTGGATGTCTTCATGTAGTAGTTCTTGGATAAGCTACAACTATTTTTCCTAGTTAGCCCAACAATTTTAGGCAAAAGAGATAAAGTACTCTGGCAAAACGTTAGTCTACCTCTGCCCAGCAGGGGAGATTAGACATTGGTAAAGAAAGGCAACAGGCAAGGCTTATAGGAAACAACAGGTTGCATTTAAGTCCTTAAACATATAAAATAAGACAAAAAGCTTTCAGGTTGCAAATGTTAACCTTGATTTCTTTCACCCTTTTGAAAAACTTAATGGGATGGTAAGAAAAACACCCAACCTTCTAAGTAAGTAAGTAATACCCAGGCAATCAGATAATTTATAGTACAAAGTACTGGTAAGATGGGATCCAATTTTCCCTCCAGCAAAATTTCTCTTTACAAATTAATTAGGGCACCATTTACCACAAAGCCAATGGTAAAAAAGAAAACCTTGATTGAACTGCAAAACTAACAAGCTTTTCAATTAACATTAAAACCTTTACCTTATGATTGAAATGCTAAAAATCAAAAGTATTACAGATGAAAGTGTTTGAGAATGACTACATAAAGATGTCTATTTCCATCAGAATAAGTCTAATTTAGACTCCAATACAGTATTAACAGCTCAAACTTTGATGGTGAACAATCCTTTTCCACCTTAATGCAGTGTAGGAAGAATAGCACACATTAAAGTTTGTTACGAAAATAGAGTTTATTAAAAACATCCCTATTGTTTTTGAGGAGCTTTCACCGTTACCTTGTCTTAAATTAAAAAAAAAAAAAAATAGCACTTCTAATTACGATTTGTAAACTTTTTAAAGTCAAAACTTTTAAAAAGTTACAGCAAAAAGGGTAATATTTATTCATATTTTCAGTATTTTTTGTTATTTTGTGGCTATTTTTAAATAGAAGGGAAGCAATCAAATTGCTTACAATTCCCCACCAACTACTGTGGGGCTGTGATATAGCAGGAGCAAATATAATACAGCATCTGTACACCTCAAGCTCTACACTCCAGGAAGTGTCACTGTCACATTTTGACAAATTCCAGTCTCTAACGAGGAGCCTCTGCTGCTGAGCCAGAATCCTTCTCGGGTTCAACGGATGAGGTAGCCTCAGCAGGTAACTCTTCAGAAGGTTTTACAACTGCAGACTCAGACTCCCCCTTATCAAGTTCTGAAACAGTGTCTACGTTTCCCACTTGGCTAACGGGAGGTTCAGCGGTTTTGTTACCACCTGCCCTGTCTGTCACCTCAGGCTTTTCCTTTCCTCGGTTTTCTTCCTTCTCTCTACGAGACTCTCTATCTCTAGAATCTCTCTCTCTGTCTCGATGCCCACTAGAGCGTCTATTTCTCTCTTCCAAGTCTCTGTGCCTGTCCCGGTCAGGGCTCCTTCTTCCCCACTCTCTCCTTTCACGATTACTATTATCTCTATCCTCATTACGGTTCCCATACCGTTCCCGGTCATTTTCCACCCTATTTCCGAAAGATCTTCTTCCAAACCTTTCTTGGTCTCTACCTGAATTGAACTGCTGCCTGTTATCATTTCTAAATGGTTGTGGTTGCTGTTGAGTTGGTGGTGGTTGCTGAGCTGGTGGCGGCTGCTGCGGTTGTGGCTGTGGTGGTGGCTGCTGCTGCGGCTGCTGCTGCTGCTGCTGTGGCTGCTGCTGCCTTCCATCTCTGTCTTCAGGACCCCCTGGGCCTGGCCCTGGGCCCCCAAGCCCTGGCATTCCACCAGGCCTAACAAAGGGGCCATGTGGTGGAAAGGGACCTTTCATTCCATGAGGTGGAGGCATTCCAAAGCCCCCTGGTCCTGGTGGTGGACCTCTATGCATCATATGTGGTGGCATGGGACGAGGTGGCATCAAAGGAAATCTCTGTAAATGAGGCGGAGGCATTCCTGGTGGGCGCTGGAGTGGGATCAGGCCAGGGCGGGCACCAAGAAGACCAGTGGATGGTGCCTGGAGCCCAATTACAGGACCAGGTGCAACTCCTTGAGTACCTAAAAGGCAATAAAAATAAAAATGTAATAAATAAAATAACATAGAAGATGGCATTCTATTTTCAACTACTTCCTGTGAAGCTTGAAGCAAAATGCAATTAAATCCAGAATCTTCAAATTTCATCTTGTTTGCCAGTCTACCTGTCAGAAACTCAATGTGAGGGCCCAGTAACAACCCAGGGCAAGCAGTCTTAAAGATATATATATAAAGATATGTATTACTAGTACATGTATATTAGTATCTAATATAGGTGGAGGTTGAGATAAGCTGGCAAAGGAAATTGTAACATACCAAATTTTAGAAAGAGTATGTCAAAATCTCCTTATACAGCTTTCATTAGTAGCAGTTTTACCACTCAAAAAACTTAGAAACACACTGAGAAACAACTTGCTAAAGTCCTAATGAGATAAAGGACTGAACTATTCCAGCCAACTGAAGGTTATTTCAGGTGTACTCCAGGAAAGATTGACACTCTAAGTCTTGGTTCAACCTATTACTAGGAGAAAATGGGGTCACTGACCCAGAAAAGGCAGTAAAGGAGGCCTCTTTGATTCAATGTCATTAAAATACCTCATGTAGTTATTATGCAGTAAACATTACTTAAACACTAATGCTTATAAAATAAAGATCCATACACAAAAGTAGAATTTATTTTCACGAGTCCCTTTCCAAAGCACAGCATAATGCGTAAACTGCTAGGCTGAAATGACCGAACAATGTGGAAGGTTCAGCCATTCACCTTCTAGTCATTCTCCCAAAGGTGGCAAGTGCTGCTGAAACAAACAATGACTTACTGGTTTTATTTCCCATTTACAGGAGGGTTTACTCATGTTTTGGTGTAAGAGTCATATAAATTCAACAACGTGTCGTTTACAATGATACGAGAAAGAAGGATTTCTGTTTTGGTTCACCACTTGAGTAACGGAAAGGTATCGTCGTATCTCTCATTTTATTTCTCTGTAAATACAAGCATCACAAGGCAGATACTATAACCAATAGGAGTTACTCTGATGGAAAATGTTCCAGGTTTTGTCAGAATATGCTATTTATGCATGTACTGCCGAAACGTCTTTGAGCAAGTGGGGTCATGACTATCAACTGGCAATGGTAAGAAAAAGGCTTGTGTGACACTCAGAAAAACAATCTGAGAGCAAACCCAGTACTTCAATACTAACTAATTTCATCCCCCACCCCCAACGTTCTGTTTATAGCTTGAATCACTTCCTCCCACTTGCTTTAGCAAACATTTAACAAGTCCTGTTTGCTCCCAGAGTTTCTGTACAAATACTAATAAGATAAATAAGAATTTCTACTTCAGTTTTTGCTCCTTACAACATGTGGTTGAATACTATTCTGTCAGATTTAAGCAATACATAGAGTGAACCTGAAAATGTATATATACCAGTTTATAACTCTTAACATGAAGACTCATCAGCTTTAGTATTTAAACAAAATACCTTTATTATTTTATTTTATTTTATTTTTTGAGGAAGACTGGCCCTGAGCTAATATCCATACCCATCTTCCTCTACTTTATATGTGGGACGCCTACCACAGCATGGCTTGCCAAGCAGTGCCATGTCTGCACCCGGGATCCGAACCGGTGAACCCCAGGCCGCCAAAGTGGAATGTGCACACTCAACCGCTGCACTACCAGGCTGGCCCCAAAATACCTTCTTTTAAATGCTTAAAGAGACATATTATGTTTGGTGAAATAGCATCTTACATAGGAATGACCCTGGACATGTGCTTCAGAAATGGGGATGATAATATCTGCCTCTGTTGAGATTAAATGGGATAAAATGAACAAGAGCTCAGAGTCTGGCACACAGTTAAGGGCTGACACCATTACGCCACACACCTATTTTGTCATGTGCTAAATATCCTAACACTAAATATTTGACTTGGCAAAAACACACACAACTCTTTGTCATTTCTCATCATGAAGATTGTATGAAGCCCTCTGCTGCCCGGATACCTACCACAGTTTAAGGTCCAGCACTTCGAGGGTTGGGAAAAACGCCAATACGCTGAGCTTCCTGTCAGGTCTGAAGCTGAGAAATGCTAATTCCCACAGGGAAAAGCCAGAAATTATGACACGAACGAATGAGGCCAAGACCTCATCCCTTCAAAGATTCTTCAGTGTCCTTAGGAAAATCTCAGACAATGAACATATACAGAACCACCACCTATTAGACCATCTCCCAGACTGAAATAACATTCAGTGGCAAACTGAAACATTCTTCCTATCATTTTGTGAGCATTTATTGAGTATATACCATACAGTGGGACAACAAAAGCACCTAAGATATCCTTTCTCACTTTTTAAAGGAATAGCACAGTCCCAACATCTGTGGACTTTAACTTAAAGCACACATCATAAACTCTATGTGCCCAGGTACAGCCTCTTTTAATAGAGGTATCATATGTGGAAGCACTTAAACAAATCCAACTTTACTTTCCCACCAGCTTTTACTGAAGGACGAAAACGACCCATGTTTACTGTTACAGGGGTCAGTGTAGCACACTCGAGCATTCAAGGACCTATCTATAATCTATAGGCTCAAGAGGCCATTGGCAAATTCTTAAATAACACTAGAAAAATGGGGAAGGGGCCTAAAGCGTCTTAATATAACAAGAAAATTAAGTTCAGATGAGCCTTTAGGAGGACATGGTGATTCTTGCAGGGCAATGGGAAAGTCCTATTCCTGATTTCCCCACGATGACTGGCTTCCTCAACTACCGATCTGACAGTGGCCAAAGGATGCAAGGCCACCTCCACCTTGTACACAGAAGATAAAATGGGCAATGATTCTTTATAAAATATAAACCCGTCGTCTCTAGGAACACATCACTAAGTCCTTTATTGCATGCGTTTGAGGATGTATGCAGATTGATGTGGCAGGGTTAACATTTACAGTCATTTACACCTTCTATAAAGCACAATATTTCTTATTAAAAAACTGCCTAATCCATCTATTCCACATATGTGGATATTTGTATTTGGGATTTGCTTAAGATATTATATACTCAAACCCCTTTCCTCATCTGTAAATAAGTAGACCTCCTATCAATTCTTTATGGACCAAAATGTTTTAGAGATTCCTGACAGAATATTCCCATAGTCCCAAATGTTGGCCTTCAGACCACAGAAGTGGTGAAATTATGATTTTTTTTGTGCTTTGTAAAAGTTATTTTTTTTGCAGTGAACATGTACTGCTTTTATAGGAAGTTATATTTAATTAAAAATTTATCAAATGGCACAAGCCCTTGATAGGCATGATAGCTGAATTTCATTTCTATTTTTATTAGGAAAGCTGAGATTATGCATATACCAACAGGATATATAGTGAGTTACCAAGGTCTAAAGGGCATTCAAAGCAATTATTTACTTTATCTGGAAGTATGATGTACAATACCACTGACAGGTTTTCTAGAGTTATAATCTTAAAAGAAAATTCATTCACACATGTATCGAACATGTAAGCTTTACATTATTAACTCAATGTGCTGGGGATATAAAGATAAATAAAACATAGCCATTTCCTTCAAATAGGACATAGCCTAGTAGAAACAGACAAGCGTCAACTGCTGTAGGAGACAGCACAAGCTAGTATGGTGACAAAGGTGGGACTGATAAAGTTTGTTTGTGTGAATCTGAATGCGAGTCTCAGGGAATGTTGGAATTGGGTCTCAAAGGAAAGGAAGAACAATCAAGGGAACTAGGAAGAAGGAAGAACAATACTGTTTGAGAGCAGCAGCTTTTGAAAAGGCTTACTGACAAGGTGAAGAAGCAAAGCGTGTTGTTCTCAGAACTGCGATAGAGTATCTTTTGATGAAACTAAGGAGAGAGAAGATGAGGTTTATTATTAAAGCAGCGAGAAAGAATTTCTGTAAATACAAATTATTATTAAAAAAAAAAAAAGATGAGGTGTATGAGACTGAGCAGATGGGGCAATTCAGAGGTCCTGGGTGCCGTGAGAAGGAACCTTGACTTAGACTTAGAGTGATGGGGAAACTACGAGGAATGTTTAGCAAAGATGACCCTATATTCATTTTTGAAAGATCCTTCTAGCAAATAGTGTACAGGAAAGCAAGGAAGGGGAGGACACCAGAGAGTAGTTAGGCTCTTATTCCAAGAATATAGGGGACAGAGGTGAGAGACTGACCCGAGACAGAGGTGCTAGAGATGAGAACCAGACTGAAGACATTTAGTGGCAGGACTGACAGATTTAAGAGATGGAGGAACATAGCTCTTTGCTTTGGATGCCTGCGTGGATGGAGGCATTAAAGCAATGCAGGAATTTTGGAAGAAAAGCAATTTTTGGAGACAGATAAATTGCACATGGTAATATCGAGAATTGGAGGGGACTGGGCTACATCTGGTAGAAATGTGAAGAAATTGATTATATGTATACCGAGAGCTCATAAGAGAAGAGTCACGATGTTAACCCACCCAGAACATCGGTGAAACAAAAAAGGGAAGCGTTCAGACCCAGGGAACCATCATATTAGATAGAAAACTCCAAATTTTCTAATATAACAAGATTTTAAGGCAGACCAAAAAAGTAACACCCCCAAATGTCTCTGTTCAAATTCGAGAAGTATAAGAAATACAGTGGAGTTTAATTCAAAATAACAAGACTTAACTGTGGATATTTCCTATGAGGTGGCAAAAAATGGCTTGTTTCACAATAAAAACAAATAAAAGTCAAGATTAAAGGGGAGGAACCATTGCCATTTATAGCAAAGCTGTCTGCGATTATGTGAAATAAAGAACAGATATGTTTAAGGGTTAAAGGGGTGGAGAGGGGGAAGAAGGTTGGACCGTGAAATCTCAGGAGAAGGTAAATAAGGGACAGGGAAGGTACATAAATGAGTAGGGTGGCTTTCTGCCATGGACTACAGTGTGTACAGCCAGTGAGACAGACAGAAAGTTACTAAGGGTTTGAATTTAAATACTTTGGGAGTGATCAACTGCATCAAGTTAGTTGGACAC